TAAATTTTCATATGCGAGGCACACGACCAGGACACACGCACCGGGCTCGGACGTGCGTCAATTAGGAGCTGGCTTGGTGGTTGCTCGGCGACGTCGCCCGCTGCACACGCCCAAAGAAGAGGCGGCGGCCACGTGGCCGTTGCATTGTGCACTGAGTCAATAGAGGGAACAGGGTTCGCGTCTCATTAGCGTGGAAACAGGTAAAAGCGAGCTCAACTCTGGCCACGTGGCAGCTGCGAGCCCCCGGACTGAAAATGTTCGTCGTGTTGTGTCGCCACAAACAAATGTTGCGCCGCTGACCCAATTGCCACGCTGGGGTCATGATAATTTCAGGAGCTTTGGCTTTGTTGTTATTCGTGCGACCGTCGATCGTGAGCCAGGGCCTGGGCGCTCCTTTGGCCCCAGCACAATGACTGCGACTCCAACTTCAACGCCAGCTGCACGTGGCCCGCCGGTGGCGCCACAGAGAGCGTTGCTCCTGACATATGCAAAACGGCTGCCATAACTGGCCGATCGACTGTGCCACAATGCGACATTTGCGACGTTTCTTATACCCTGAACCCATTGAAAATGAATAAAAGGGGTATAACGTTTTTGTGAGCTAAAGGAAATTTCCCACCACAAGAATAATATATATATTCTTATCGCGTTAGTCCAGGCTACAGATTTGATTTTTGAAATATATACCCTCGTATATCAAATGATTATCTATTATCGATTTTGAGACAAGGTATTTTGGGCATAACTCGAAAATTATAAGGGCTAGATATACTAGGTACTAGGGTTTTCGTGTGCCCCCATTCTATCCAAATCCAATTTAAAGATAGCCTTATAATTTGGTATATAGACACAGTTGGCTGTGATATTTAAGCACTGCAAATTTCACAAAGATCGGACTCTAAGCACTGAAGCATTATATTCAAGAATGTATTATCCATACTGCCTGGCTGTAGGGAGATGCAGTTAGAAGTAGGTTCAAGGTATCTGCTAGTCGGTTAGTCTTGGTGGAGCACTTTTTTTTGTTTTATGGCTGAATTTTTCTCAGGTATTGACTGCGATTTGCATAGAAATCAAAGTGCAGGCAAAACTGAGCCCATGAAAATCTGTCAGCGGCCACCAGATTTATGGCAACGGCTTCAGTTGCGCCAATGTGGGCGTCACATTATGTTGCCACAAGAAATGTGGCTTCTCGAAATAAAGGAAAATCGATACGCGCGCGGAAAAGTCTACAAAGCGTCTGCGTTGCACGTCGCCCCCCTCAACTGCTCCAGTCAGATCTAGGGGGAGAGGGGGCTGCATATATTAAAGTCTGCAAATGTATTCAAAATGGCCGCCTTCAAAAAGTGAGAGACATGCGCAAGAGAGAGCGCGACTGAGCGAGAGAAAGTGCGAAGAGAGAGAGAGTTCGAGTCTCCACAGTGGTTGCCAAGCAACGCAGTCGAGCCTTGGCTGGGGGTTGCTTGGCGCCCAAGGGGGTTGTCGTAGCTGCCTTCTGTCTGGGCACGACGGGAACATAAACGCTGGGAATCGATTGCAGTGGACACCAGATGCAAGCTATTTCGTTGGCTCAACCGATTTGGTACGGTTTGATTGGGTCCCACTAGCTGCAATGCCTATATCGGATAACTGAACCCTATATCAAACCCACTTTAACCACCTTACAATGCTGTCTAACACCACTTGACAGCTTCTGCCGGGTGGCCGGATGGCAGGGTGGCGGCAACAATCAGTGCACGTGACCGACACACGAGCCGATGTTCTGCTCATTAAGAAAGGCTGACAAGCGTTTTTCTCGTCGCGATATGATCAACAAAATGCCAAATCTCTCGAACAACAACAACACCAACCCTCCTTTAACAACCTTTAAGCGAAACCATCAACCTTCCAACACACTGTGATTAAGTCCACTAAGCTGTTGTTGCACAGTGGGAAAGTCACGCCAGTGGCATGTCACAGACTCCTTCCCAACTGCAACAGTTTCCAGCTCATTGCATTTCATCACGCTTTGTTTTTGGTCTTCCTTTCTTCTGGGCAAAGCCTAACGATATTCCTAACGATCTTGTAATACTTTGATGTTTAGTTTCAAAGGATCCATGGATCCGATTCTATGTATCTTATAAAAAGAAACTCCGGAGTTCTATAAATTGTGTTGATTAATATTAGTTTTATCGATTGATGATGATTATTATTATTATATATATTTTAAATATTATTATTTTTTATATTGGCCCAGACAATATTATATCTTGTATTTCGTCCACTGGCAATAACTTTTTAGCCATATTTCTCGATTCTTTCAAGTTATCAGCTGGGGATCTAGTCTAGGTTTATTATGTCTGTCATAGCCTTGATGACATACTCACCATAAAAATTAGGAACCTTTTCAAATCAATAACTGAATTTCAGCAATTAAGGCAAAATTTTTCATCTAACTTTGAAGTGTACGAGCGCTTCGTGTTGACTTTCTAGTGAGCATTACCTTTGGTTTTGCATGCTGGTTCATGGACTACTCGTAGTCTTGTATCCTCGGACCACGTAATCATGTTACGACACACACAACTGACATCACAGTTTCAGCAAAAGCGATTAATATCGCACACGACACGAAGCTGGGCAGGAGCAAGACTCCAAGCTCCAGCTTCAGCTCCCACTACGAGTATCATTTGCCTTCGTGGAGCATGCGCACATGACTCCAACTTTGACGCTGAGTCTGTGGCTCAGTCTGACTCTGACTCTGAATTGGGTTTCATATGATGCTGTCCATTGTTGTTTGTAGTGCTGTTGATGGTGGTGGTGGTAGTAGCTGGTGGTGCTGCAGGCGGGATTCGTTTAAAATGACTTAATGGCAAACAGCTCATAAATTCACGAATTTGCATAAACCGACTCGACTATTTGGGCAACATTGCAACAGCAGAGAGGGAAGCGCCCCCGGGGCACATCACAGCCAGCTCGAGCGAGTGAGTCAGCAGCGGCAGCAGCAGCAGCGGCAGCTGAAACATGAGCTAGACCTGGAGCTGTTCAGCTCTTGTGACTGGCAGCCTAATAAACACAATTAACTTCATCATTTTGAACTCAAATTATTTCATTTCAATGCGATAAAATCGCAAATCACGAAGCGGCAGCCAAAAGCTGCGGACAAGCTAGAGCCCCAGCGCCAAAGCCAGAGTCAAAGCGAAAGCGGCTCTGGCCAAAACGTTACAAACCAAAGCCCACAGACAATAGAGCCAGGCACAGATCCGACCTGGCCAGGACGGTGAAAATTAAGTCAAACTCTGGCTGCAAACATTTTACCAATCGCTCGACCAATCGAGCCGATCGGGACTGGGGCCTGTTGCAACCGCAGCCGCGCACCACCCGCAACGGGGATTCGAGCCACTTTCAATTGTGGTGGGCACTCTGCAGCTGCATCGGGAATGGGCATAGGGATGGCCTTTTGGCTTGGGCACCGGAGCTTACCAAGCTGGGTCTGGCTGGGTCTGAAGGTAGAGAATAATGTTGCATGTCGCGCCAATTGTGTACACGATTTGACTTGGCAGCCGCCTGACAGTGCTGCCCACTCCGATGTTGTTGTTGCTGCTGCTGTGGTTGTTGTTGTTATTGTTGCTGTGGTTGTTGCTGTTTGTGTGTCAGCTAATCAGCTGGCAAGTATCTCATCTTCGAGGACTACTAGCAACTGCCAAAACAACAGCGAAACAGCAAAACAGGCAACATGCACACGAAAAACTACCAAGTCATGTTGCCTGCTGATTGTTGTTGCTCCTGCTGCAGTTGTTGTGATTGTTATTGTTGTTGTTGTTGTTGGTCTCGCAAATAAATCTCTTGGCCATTGCTGCTGTTGGCTGCTTTTGCCACGGCACCCAAAAACTTGGACACAACACAATCAGCCAGCAGCCAGCCGTGTGTTGCTGCTGTTGCAGTTGTTGTTGTTGTTCTTGTCGTTGTTGTTGGTGTTTCCTGGAAAGCGTTTCCTGCATTTAGCTTTGTTAGTTTGCTTTATAACTATGTTGGCGCTACAGCCCGTTGCAGTGCATTTTTATACCCTATATACCCACTACAAAATAGGAACAAAGGGCATATTGTCCAAAGAAATTAGCTTCTTCATTTCCTTTATTCTCAGCATCTCTCAAACATTAAAAAAACTGGAGACACCACTTAGTTAAGAGAAAAATGAAGCACAGTCACAATATGTTAGGGCAACTTGTAATCACAGGGTATCTGCATGTCAGGCATTCGTGGTTAGAGCACCTTTACTTGTTTGTGCTGATTTAGATCGTGTCCACCAACGAATCCGGCTGGCAGTTGACTTTATGAGGGTCAATCAGGCTAACCAGAGTAGTCGCAACTGTCCAATCCCAGGAATGCGATCGTATCGAAACAGCAGGCACAGGTCGAACATTTCTTAAATATTAAATGTCCTACACAGTTGGATTAGTCGGAGAGAGTTGCTTGGACTATCATAAACCTAAATCATAAAGGCAAATAAAGTGTACGAAAGTTTCCTAAAGGATGGCAAAGTGTGGATAAATATGGCATTGTTCGGACATTCTATGTTATGGTATAGGGGAAGAAATATAGGATATGATTAGGATATCACGAATTATTACAAGTTATGAATAATAGGAAGGGGTTTGAGTATTGGAGAGATAAGAGTAAATTTAGTCGGCATTATGTAGTATATAAGTAAAAGTTGGGTTGGCATAGAACAGCATATAAGAATATATTACAAATATATCACTGGGCTTTGGGGGAGCTATAATATCAAAGTAAAGTATAACAATGATCAGGAACTTTGGGATTTTAAAAATGTTCTATAATACCCACTTGACATTAGAGCTCAGACATACTTGGCTCAATTGTTAGGATGAAACATGGAAATTTTAGAGTTTTTGATTTTAAACTTTTCATTTTAAACTTTTTAGTCAAGTCAGACACATTAAATTTTAGTTTCGGTAAAAAATTGGAAATTTCCCATTTAGCCCATCTTTTAAGATTTTAGCGATATGTCCAAGTATTGTGAGGCTCTCTCCCAGCTGTCGCTGATCGGCGCCTGCTGCTATGGACTTTACGCACTGGCACCGGCTGAACACCCGTATGGATATACAGCAGCCGCATTTTGCTTTGTCCATGGACTGCTGTCGCTCGTGCGTGCCCTGGAGGAGGATGAGGAGTGTGGTCCTACACGCTCCTTTTCTGTGTCAACGGGCATTGTGGATGTTATACCTCTTCCGCTGGCCAATATTGAATTCTACTTGCAATCCTCTCAATCGGGTATGGCCTTGGTGCACGCCCTGTCTCTTATATTGGTGCTCTATGATATGATGGGCAGCTTGGGCGATGACTGGGATCGTGCCACGGAGACGGTTAAGGATCTATCGCTGCTGGGCAATGTTGCATCCGGCGCGTATTTGGGCACACAGGAAGATAACTATTATCATGTGGGCGTGGCAGCATCCGCTGGCATTGCCCGTTACGGCTCCTCGCTGGTCAGCACATTCTTGCCGGCCGCGGGTCCCCATGTGAATACATTGAGTAAGGCAGCCATTATAGGTCTAATGACGTACTCCCTCACCAACAAATGATTTGAATTTTTAATATGCATACACAAATATTTGTAACCAGTTTTGGAGCTTAGCATGTGCAAATATCATCAGATGATTAAATGGCTATAATTTTAAACACATATCCTTAGTGGTTAAAGGGCGAAGCTCTTTCACTAACACAACTTTAGCCCCAGCTTAAATAATCTCTGGTCTGTCCGCTTTTACTTTTTCAATGTCTCGAATCTTACAATTCCCAACAAGTTAAAGTCTGTCGGGTGTTCCGTCTTAGCTATACAAACAACCTGTTCATTTTTTGCTGTTTCTACCTAATCATTATTTTTATATATAAGAAAAAGCCAATAATAATAGTTAATAGGAGTTTGAAATTCATGGGTATTTCTTCTTAAGATCATCTACTGCCAACTACTGCTGGCAGTTTCGGCACTGATTAGGCTAAATGACTGTCGAGATAACCGCCTGGCTTGGCGCATTCCTGTAGCTTTCCAAATGGTGCCCCACTCCCACTCCCACTCTGGCACTGCCACTGCCACTCCATGAAGACAAAGGAAACTGGGCAACTGGCAGCCGACGCTGCGCAGGCGCGTGTTTGGCAAGAGTTCAAGTCACAGCTGGAGACTGCACTGCTTTTGGCGCATAACTGGACACAACTGGCGGACAGGCAGCTGGAGACTGGAGGCCGCCTGGCCCGGTCTGTCTGTCTCCCTGTCTGTCTGTCTGTCGCTATGGTCGTGTTGGATAACAGGCAGCTGAGAGCTCTTGGCCAGCTCTTTGGCCATAAAAATAGGAAAATGTTGCGTTAATGCGACGTTTGTTCGAACACAGTTTTCAAACAGATCGACGCAGGCAATTGTTTGGACAGGCTCTGGCTAGCTGTGGACAGACAGACAGATGGATGGCTGGCTGCCTGGCTGGTTGAATGGCTGGAGTTGGAGTTGGAGCTGCAGCTGGCGGGCTGGTGGGGGCCACTGTTATACACGACTTTGGCTTTGGCTTCGTGTAGACATTATTTTGGGGCGTTTGACTCATGAATTACGCGCAGTTTGTTTGCGCAGATTTTTCGCACGTGTTTGGGGTCCCCAGTTGGAACACTTGGAATTTCTACAACGGGAGCGGCTCTCACTTCTACTGCGCAGCAATGGCGGCCAGCCGAGGCGCCTCCCATTGCCATGGCAAGACGTCGACTAAGAGGGGACGGTGGCAACAATCGATTTTCCCAATGTGATAAGGTTTCAACTGCGGCTGCTTTATGGGCATCCGGCCAGCGCACGAATCCTTTCAAGCCGCACACGTGCATGCACTGCCGCGGCGCATGAAGGGTAGCTGCGCAACGACAAAAACAACACGAAACACGTGTCACGCGGCATCAATTGAAAGCCGCGACTGCTGCAACATCCATCAAGGCACGTCCGGAAATCGGAAGTGCGCCCCCTTCCACGGCTCCTGCTGCTGCGAGGGTGGCTACACCAATGTTGATGATGTCAGCATGCGGGCAACAAAAAGGACAATCGATTGTTGTGACATTGCATTGTGTGGCAGCAGCTAAACCCCTGCCTGCCACATCTCTCTTCAGCAATTTATCCAATTTTATGCCGTTGCCAAGCTGCCTTGCCTCAATTAACGCTGCCCAGTGGAACGCTGAGACGCTCAGCTTCTCCACTGGCTGCTCCCACGGCTCTCGTCGTCGTCGGCGTCGCCGTCGGCGGCGGCGTCGCGCTGCGTGCACGTGCAGCGCAGGACATTTATTGGATTTTTGCCATGTTTTTATTTGTTTCTATATTTGCTCAGAATTCCAATTAAACGCCAATGCCAATGGCTAGGAATGGGATTTGGGATTCGTATGCAGAATACAGGGTGTTTTTCGTTTATTGAGAAATAATATGGAAAGCGATATAAAATATGTTATTGAAACAAATAACAGCATTTTATAAATAGATGTATATTTAAAAGAATTAGATACAATTATATATTGTATCTTATATATGAGTTATTGATATATATTATTATTGTAATAATATATTCTCAGTGAAATATGTAGTTTAATGGTTTCAGTTCAATTATATATATTATATATCTTATCAATATTTGCTATGATGTATAATTATAGTAAAACAATCGTACTTATATATATTCGAGGGTATTACCCGGCTTTGTCTGGACCAAGTTATTGTTGCACTTCTCTACACAATTTTCATGCGAAATTTATATCTACCCAGACCTTCTTAAGCCCCCGACTCTTGTAATTGTAAAAACTTCTATATTATATCCCATCGAAACGGTCGGCTTAACTTTTTTTATCGTATGAAGACGTCTTTAAATGGATTGGTATAAACTTATATCTTAAGGTTACTATATATCTGCAAAGATATTTGATAATAAATATTCCTTCTAGTTCCGTTCAAAGCACAAGTTTTTCCTTATACTGAGGTATTTACGAAATAACGAAACTGTTCCTTAAAAGGAATTATTTTTTTTAATTCCTCTTCAGTTCAATTGTAAATTTGTTGCCCCCTTTTTCTGTTCCAGCTAACTTTAAGACCTTTCAAGTAATTTCTATGGCAGCTGAAGACCTAGAAAGAAAGACTCATTCTTAGGGCTTCCTTAAATAGGGGGCTGCGACGACACCCTGTTCTCAATTAAAGTTCTGCCATTTTAAGTAGCGCAAACGGCAATTGAATGACGCGATTGCGATTCCGACTCCGACTCCACCCCAATCAGCTGCAAGAACAACAACAACGGGAGGCAAAATGTTGTAAGGGGGGAGAGGGCATCAGTTTGAGGCACACGCTGCGGATTAGACGTGTAATCAGCATAAAATGTTGCCAGAGTCGGGTGCGACGTACACAAAAGTGGCAAACATGAAATCCAATATGTGCGATACGGCGGCAACGGCCACATGAAATTGTAATAGCGGCCAGCGGCCATGTCGATGATGACGATGCCAACGACGCCAACGACGCTCGTACGCATGTCCCTATACAAACACAGATGCAACCAAAGCTACAGCAACAGCCAAAGATACAGACACAGATACAGATACGCATACAGATACAGATATAAATGCGAGTACGAGTGCGAGTGCGAGCAAGGAGTAGAGCGTGGAACACGTGCAAAGCCGCGGGGGACTTGCACGACTTTTGTGACGAGGCGAGGCTGAGCCAGAACCGGAGCTGGAGCTGGGGCTGGAGTCGGGTCTGGTATCTGAAGCTATAGCTGGACTTGGGCTGGGCCACGCACCCAGAAAAACAAAATCTGCAATGCGCGTTGCCTGTCGCATTTAATAACTGTTTTTAATAAGTGTCCCTTGCGGCCATGCGTTGTGCCGTGCCACGACGCGTCGTTTGCCAGCGTCATTTGCATGAGCGCCGCCAAACCCAAAATCTACCCGCCACCCCTCCGCCCCATATGCCACACTACATGCTCGATTCCCGATTGCCAGTTCCAGTTGCAGTCCAAGTCCCAGTCCCAGTCGCCCAAATATGTTTTACTCTCGTACTCTAATTGCACGCCCCGTTTGAGTCAGCGCGCTCCTCAGGTGCAGGCCGTTGGGGCAGTCGTCGCCGCCGCGTGCAACATGCAACATGTTGGCTGCAATTTATTAGTGCTGCCATTATCGTTTTTCTTCAGATTTAGCTGCTGGCCCCTGCCCCACACTCTGTGCGGCTGCGTGTCGTCTGCTTCTTCAGCTGCAGCTCCTCCACTTTGCACAATTCTCAATTCTCAGCCTGCAAATATTTATTACTATAATTTTCCATATGTTTTCCCTGCATTGCGTTCGTCTTGTTGGCTTTTTTTCGGCAAATTGCGCCTGGAAATTGCCGCCATAATTTGTTGCTTACTAAATATGAAGATCAACCAGTTCCCCAGTCTCCCTCCGGTTCCCAGTCTTCCCCCAGTTGCCAGTCATGCCGCACGATCCGTTGCTGTGTCTGCATCTGCGTCTGTTTTGTTTCCCCCAAAATTTATTAACTTGTGCAAAATTAGTCGTTTTAGTCGTTTAGTCGTTGCAATTTGATTTTTATTGCGGCTTGTAAATTGTAGCGCCATGTTAGAGCTGTGTATCTATGAGATACATTTTGCGAGCGCTCGCATCCAGCAATTAGTCGACGTCTCTCTCTCCCTCTCTTTCACTCTGTGTGTTTCTGTCTCTCGTTCTGTCTATGCTAACGACTTTTTATTCGGTTTCGTGGCACTGAAATTGTTGCACTAATCAGCTGACAATTTATGAGGCATTTGTATTTGGTTAACAGCAAAAAAAAATAAAAATTTTGCCTTATAGTACATAAAAAGCCTCGGACAGGGTATCCAAGATTGGGAATTAGTCGAGCTATGCAAAGCATGTGGCGTCCATAAAGCAGCTCAAGAACTTTGATTAGTTGTAATCTTAACCAGCTGCATCGTAAAAATAAGCAAATGAATGTGCCACGGTGAAGTATGCTCGACTTGAAGATGCCCTGGCATGGGCATATATTGGTTATTTAAGGAGTGCCGGGCTATTATTTTAAAGAATTCTAATACAAATCTTATAGCTTGTATCCCTAATGAGTAGGTATATTAAAATCCTTAATAGCTTCTGAGCTGCCTTCTCTTGTCTGTCACATACAGCTCTCCTATTTGATTATACCCGTTTTAACTCTTTTATGAGCACTGGATATAACAAGCTGCTTGAAAATTTTTAATTACACGTGCCGTGTGTGGGCCCAGTGACAGGCCCTTTTAATAGCGCTGGTTCAGAGACTGCGAACATCTCTATAAATTGACATCCAACTGCATTTAATGTCAACCGAATTGGTATTTGTGTTGGGAAGGGCCAAAGACTTAGCAACATGTTGTTGAGCTTCTCACAGATTAAGTATTTTTAAGATTTGTGTGTTTAAAGCGAATTGGTTTGAAGCCCAACCGTAAACCGACTTGGGTAAAGAACAGCCGGATCTGATCCTGAAACGAGTTGTTTATTTGAAACAAAAGCAAACTTTATGAGCTTTAAAAGTAGTAGTTACAATTTTACTGACTATGTATCT